CTAAAAAAAAAAAAATCTACCTGTACTAAATGGTTGATATGTTGGTTGAAGGTAAATTAATAATACCACAATTAATTCATTCATTCATTTTCTTTTCGGCTTAGTCCCTTTATTAATCAGGGTTCGACAATATCAAGAATCAACCGCCAATACCAGAATTAATCCATAATAATATAAATAATACTGGAATTAATACACTATATGAAAATCAGAAAATATGAAGTGTAAGATCAATTTGTTTAAAAATATAATCAAAGTAAAACACTTTTAAATACTAAATCACCTTTATTTTTTTAAGTATGCCATGAAATATTCACATTCTCAGTTAAATGTTTTTCTTGTTGTTTTTTTTACAATAAAACTAAACTCAAGTGTAGCAGTGCAACAGGATTATGTTTGTTTCATTTTCTTTTTTTTTTGGTAAACCAACAATCCTGTGTTGAGTAAACGATTATTTAAAACAGTCATACTTTAAATGACTTAAACAGTCATTGTTAAAAACAGTCAAAATATGGTCAACCATTTGTTCGAGCAGGCAGTTAAAGGGATAAGCCTACACAACACAATGCGACTGTGCACTTTTCTAAGAGCAAACACTGTCCTGTAATCTGCTATTGTTGTTTTGGATGTCAAATACTTGACTAAACATAATATGCATGAACATGAGGTCACTGTTTTCATCAAATTGCATTGTTAGATTACATAGAGATGTATCAATGTCAAAAATGCTTTGAAATGTTTGCATTTTTAGGCCCCCAAAACAAGGTTTGTAAATAAACAGTCAAAATGTTTTCCAATATTTAGTGAAAACAGTAAACAAGCATGTCAAAGAACTGCATCAGAACAGCCTTCTATAAAAAACTTACTCTTACATCCAGGGATGTTTATCTCGAAGTTGATATTTAGCCGCACCATGTTGGTGTTTAGTAACATCAAATCTTTTACAAGGTGGGTCATTAGCCCAGCGCTCAACCCCCAACCTGGAGGACCAGGACATTTACATATACACAACAGACAATTTAGCTTACCCAATTCACCTATAACACATATCTTTGGACTGGGGAAAAAACACGCGAACATAGGGAGAACATGCAAACTCCACACAGAAACGCCAACTGGCAGACCAGAACTCAAACCAGCGACCTTCGTGTTGTGAGGCGAAAGCGCTACCCACTGCGTCACCATGCCATCACATTTAGTCAGACGGTTAAAAATATACATTTTAGACTTAGTAAGAGTAAATAACACTAGAGACATCTCTCAGTGATGTGTATGACTAAAAGCAGGTCAGCTGAATGTTTAAGCAGGACAGAGGCTCAATCTGAACCCCTGTGACACACCGATTGGCAGCACACCTTCAGCTGGAGCTTCTCATGAAAACTGCCACCACTAAATCTGCTTCACTGGAAATGTCACTCAGATGATTCCCGTATTAGACTAAGTGAATCATATCCTGCTGAAGTATGAATCATGAAGCTGTGGACAAACTTGGAAAACCTATGAAAGCGAATGTCATACACAAAACCCTGTAGGAACAATACAGCATCTGTGCATTCTCTGTGAATAAAAAAACTACAGTTTCATAGCTATTTTGAAAATGAGGTAATTTCCATATTTATGCATCTGAAATTGCTTGTAGCTAATTTCAATTTCGTTTTTGTGCATTTACAATAAAAGTCTGATTACATTTCGTACTCATTTCAAATAAAATGTAAAACATTTCTTTCAGTTTTTTAAAGTTATATTTACAGTTATTTACAGGTAATTTACAGTAATTAAAATTGGTTATTATCATAAATTACAGTTAGCCATAATAAATTGTGATTGAAAATTAGGGTTATTTTACCAAATACAGATTTAATAACTCTTTTGCAGTTAAGGTTAAGATCGGTATTGTTTTGTTAAGTACATATAATTACGTTAAAAAATAATAAATTAATGAATTATACCTACAAACCTGTTCAATACTAGTGTCTCAGGTTCTATTACTTTTATTTTTTCTTTATTTAGCCAGGAGATCGCATTGAGACAGAACTGTCTCTTCTTCCAGTGAGACCTGGTCAAGATGCAAGCAGCACATACAGTTTCACAAAAAAAAAAATCACAAAAAATAAATAAATAAATAAATAAAACAATGCCATATATACTAAAACCAATACTTTATCAGGGTCTACTGACTAGAAAATAATTTTACCATAAAAATATTTAACAAAGAACCTGACACTGACAATGGTAAAAATGCAAAAGAAAGAACGCTGCATTAAAAATATTTTGCTGCTTGTTCAATTGAATTATTTTTAATGATGCAATTTAACACAATTCTTGCTAAATTGCATGTCCAGTTAAATTTGTAATACGGAAGCTACTTGATGCATTTGTGCTGAGCTACATTAATCACTTTCAGTGCCAATGACTAATTCAAAAAAGGGATTTATGATACACAGCAACCTTTAAAAAGAGTGAACAGAAATTGTATTGTGTTTTGAACCAGATAATAGCCTACTCTGTTTTTGTTGCTTCAATGAAACATCACTAATGGAATTTTACTGCAATTAACTTTCTTGCTAGCATCAAAACACAAAGTTAATACTGCAGTCTGGGATACTGCAACCTGGGGAAAAAGTGCAGAGTGCATATGGCCAATAGCCTTAACAGGGGCCCACTGAACGTCCAAAGCAAAAACCTGTGAATGGGCCCAGTATCCCATTATGACACCACTAACAGTGATATATTATTTTAGTTATTATGACACAAGTAACCTTATAAGTAATATTTCTGCTAAAGTGTTTTGTATATAGGCCTATTAATGTAAGCAATTTTAAATTAACCAAAAAAGTGTGGACCTTATTTTAGATTGCATACCCTTGAATGACAAAACCATTCTAGAGAATTGTGCTGAGTCTAGCTGAGCTCCTGAGAAGATTTAGTTACATTTGGAGTCCTTACGGAGGCACCATGACTCTCTCAAGGATGCTCGAGAAGACACTGAATGAGCTCACAATCACTAAAATGGCTATAATAGTTTAATTCTACAGAGATTGTTCTCATTATTTCCTAAATAACATGTAATTAAAAACAAACCATCTCACGTCACAGTTAACCTACCTTTCAGTAAGGGCAGCGGCGTGAGCTCCACCTGGGAGCTTTGGTAGCGGAACTGTGAGGAGCTGTGGGACCGTCGCTGACGAGCACGGCGCATCGAGCGGCGGGGGAAACCGTCCACCTTCTCCGCGCTCGGTACAGAGAAGCCCGTCGTCGGCGATGAAGGGCTCGACGGAGGCAGCTTCGTGGGGGTCTCCATCGTTGCGAAGGTGGTGCTCGGCAGAAGATTGTTTTAGGATGGCAGCTAACAGCAAGAACAGGCACCCAATGCCTTGTTTTTGGCCCAAAATATTGTTGTTTGATTGAAAAAGTCAAATAAAAAAACAAGGATTCGACTAAAGACACAAGTTAGCTGACGTTAACCTGGTCGAAATGTAGACAGGGATGGTGGACTAAAAGCTATCGGTGTTCAATTTGACGCGTCTCTTGCTCGTGTTACATTAAAGCCTCTCAAAATAATCGAAATTAGACACGGAGGCAAGCAAAAGGGTGAATGTAACTGCCTATATCTTTATGGAGAGATGCTGAGGCGAACATGCATTTCTACAATAAAGACATCTCTGCCGTACTGTCGTCATCAGAAAGTCATCGGCCTAAATTTGGTCTTTATTTAAATATTTATAGGCTAGAGGTATAAATCTGTAACGTATTAACACGCGGGTGTAATAAGCACTCTATCCTGTGATCGTGGGCCAATCAATCCATGTTGAAAAACAAACGGGCGATTAAAATCCTGTCATTTATCTCCTCCGCACAGGTTCAAATGCATCACTTGTTAATTAAAGGTTATCGTCATATTACCAGTCGCCAGCCTTAAGTCCTTTTTCGCAGCGGCCCGCTGTTAAATCCGTCCTCGTACAGTCGGTTCGGTTCGGTCAGATCCACACAGGGCGGGGATGAACTGCTTCAAACGTGCCTACATGTGTAGAGCATCGCGGCGGCCGCTGCAGCACTGATACCCGCTTCTGCCTCCTTCCCTCAGATACAAGAAACCGCTGCTCAATTTCTTCTGCTTCACAAGGACGCTGACAGCCTCGCTGGTTTTGTTCGTCGTTTGTCCCTTCCTCTCCGCTGTTTTCCCCCGTTTCTTTATTTCCCAGCAGTCAGTGTCGGTCGTTGTCTTCAGGTGGTGCAAGTAGATGTAGATGCTACACACTGCAGATGACGCTCACGCGCTCTTATTTATTTATTTACTCATCGTACATTTACGCGACTCGCTTCCAGACGCCGCGAGATGTGACTATCCGCCGTTTACTCTGTTCACCGTTTAAGCGGACTAATATATGCTATTTGTTTTTATTTCGTCTGTATCTTTATCAGACAGCTGTTTATCTACCTCTGCCTCTTCCCTTCTGCCCTCCCTCGCTGGCTGACAGTCTCTCTCTCTCTCTCTCTCTCTCTCTGTTAGACGCTGTGTTTTGGGACTGTCAGGTTGGCCATTGTTCTTGCTTCATTCGTTCATTAGCTACTCCGCGCGTTCACTCGCTGATTTTCGTTTAGACCGTCGGTAAATGTTTTTCGAACACGAGTTATGTGATATCGGTCGACCGACGACGTGCTGCTGCTGACCTACCTAAAACTATTACATGTGATGCTGAACGTAATGGGCGTTTTGGCTACCGAGAGACCATCCCCAACTACCACCGAGAGAGGCTGATACAGATTTACAGATTTATAAAAGATTTTTTATATTCCATTGACCTGTTCTGGATGCCCAGTGATGGGTTGTGGCTGGAAGGGCATCCGCTGCGTAAAAACGTGCTGGATAAGTTGGCGGTTCATTCCGCTGTGGCGACCCCGGATTAATAAAGGGACTAAGCCGAAAAGAAAATGAATGAATGACCTGTTCTGGTGTATAGCCTATAGGACAATTCATAATATAAAAAATAGCAAAAAAGTATATCACATTCAATTTATTGATTCTAAAAATCAAGTAACCATATACAACACAAAACATGTTTCACTCGTTTAAGGACGACACGATTTTTTTACACACACAAACATACATACGTACATACACACACAGTTGAAGAAGTCAGAATTATTAGGCCCCCTGAATTATTACACCTCGTTTATTACCCCAATTTTTGTGAAACAAAGAGAAGTTTTTCAACACTTTTCTAAACATAATAGTTTTAAAAACTCATTTCTAATAACTGATTTATTTTATCTTTGCCATGATGACAGTAAATAATATTTGACTAGATACTTTTCAAGACACTTCTATGCAGCTTAAACAGCTTGACATTTAAAGGGTTAACTATAGGGTAATTGGGCTAACTAAGCAGGATAGGGTAATTGGGCAAGTTATTGTATAACTATGGTTTGTTCTGTAGACTAAAAAGCTTAAAGGGGCTAATAATATTGACCTTAAAATGTTTTTTAAAAAATTAAAAACTGCTTTTATGCTAGCCGAAATAAAACAAATAAGACTTTCTCCAGAAGAAAAATTTATTATCAGACATACTGTGAAAATGTCCTCGCTCACCCATAATTTGGGAAATATTTAAAAGAGGAAAGAAATTCAAAGGGAGGGGGTTGGGGGGGGGCTTATAATTCTGAATTCAACTGTATATAATCTTTTACATTTCTTTTACTTTCTGAATAAAGCAAAAACGTTAATAAGACATTTTAGTCACTGACCTGAACAAAGTGCATTGCTCATAAAACAGTGATATTACTACACGCCATGATTGATTTATATTTAAATATTAACAATTTATAAGTCAACAAAACATAATTTATAAAAATAGAAAGGAAGTTCTCTTTACAAAATAAAGCATTACTTAGCCATAAAAGGCTGTAGTCTTGTAGAAATATATACATATATAAAATAATGCCCATTTTAAACACAAAGCTACATGCAATTTAATTATTGCCATCTGTAAATAATATTTGAATAAATTATAAAATGAAACATTTCCACATCTTGCTTATGTTATAGCACCATTTTTAAGCCCAGTAAAAATCTTTCTGTAGTAGTGTGTAAGTCATCAAACTTGTCACCAACTTAAAATGTACAGTACCTGACTGTACAGCACTTCAAAGCTGAAACCCATTATCATTCATTGAGTCCCAAGGAGTCCAGTCGAAGAGATCTGTTAGTGACACTGAATTAGTGTTTGGTAAGAATGTAATGTCCGCCAAGAGGTTTGGACTCGAAACGTAATCTGAGGTAGAGGGTGTTGCTGTGGATGGAGCTCCTGACACACTAGCTGGTGGTCCAAATGAACCTAGTTTAGTGCAGTGAGGTTCATGCTGTTCCAAAGCTGTTTTGTAGATTTGTAGCTGCTTCTTCAGATCAGCAATTTCTTTTACAAATGCAGCATTAGCCTGCTCTAGAGTCTGGAGTTCCTAAGTAAAAAAGAAAAAAGAGATTATAAAAAGTGCAGCACTGAAATTCAGAAGTCACATGGTAAAAGAAAACATTTTAGCTGTGAGTACAGACTAGATGTACAGGCTGCTTAAAGTTATTTTGTACTACAACACATTTGTGACAAGAGGGGCGAAACGAAAGTGACAGTCCCGTCAACCTGACAGTCCCAGCTCTCGGCTCCACCCTCCCCATTTTTCTATGGAGTTTTCATGTTTAATTAGTTTAATTAGTAAGCTTGTTCCTGGAGGGCAGGTGTCCTTCAGAGTTTAGTTCCAACCGCAATTAAACACACCTGAACCAGCTAACCAAGCTCTTTCTAGGTATACTTAGAAACTTCCAGACAGGTGTGTTGAAAGAAGTTGGAGGCAAACTATCCCGGAATTTGGGCACTTCTGACATACAAACATACAGTAGAGAGAGTGAGGGGAATCTTTTGTTCTGAATCAGTTGTGCAAGTGTGTATCAAACTGGCATGGTCACGTGATTTCAGTAAACCTTGCTTTATTACATCATAACATATGATATACCAAATTAGTGAATCATTTTGTGAAGCAATTAGTTCAGTTTCAAAAAGCTTAGTTTCTCTCTTCACTATTAATTATTATTAGGTCTTAGCAATAGCATGTGTTATATTTATACAGTTTCATGATTATAGTGGAATATTTTTCACCTCACTCTCTCTAATCTAGCTGTACTTTTCACTACAATGGTAACCCTAAATGTCCACACAGCTAAATGTATAGTAAATCCCAACAGAGCACAAATTAACAACTGTATGTCTCCCTATTTTGTCCAAAAACAGAGAATAAACCTTTAATAACTTAATTTTTCTTATACTTTCTGACACAATGCATACCAGGAACTAGTATCTGTATTAAGTAAACTAAACTTTTTAAATATCTGAGTGAAATTAATTAATTCAATTTTAACTGATCAGTTTTATAATAGTTTAATAAAGTCTAGATTTTAACTGCTATTCTCACAAAAAACCCTGTATTTTATTAAGACCACCATGTGTCTTTTTTTAAAAGGATAAAAGATGTGAATAGTAGATAATTGGATACAAAGGGGAAAGTCCAGGATTTGTGCATTATCTGAAGAGAAACTAAAAGTGAAAGTGAAGGTAAACTGAAAGAACAAGTGTGGAGCTAACTCAAGTGAACTGCAGCTGCCCTATTATGCACAATGTTTCCAAGAAATGCCTACTCTACAGTAAAAGGTTGTGCAATAGTTGTGTCCCAGACTCTCTCTCTCTCTCTCTCTCTCTCTCTCGCTCTCTCTCTCTCACACACACACACACACACACACAGACATAGAAAAACTGAGAGACTACAGAGTAATTATTAACAAACGCACCCAAACCATCTTCCAGAGAAATGTACACATACTGTAAACAACGATTAACATACTTGCTGAAAGTTGTGAGTATGACACATTACTTCATATTTCCAATTAATGTTATCCATAATAGCATTTATACACTAGTTGAGAAGAATAACATACAGTGCTCAGCATAATTGAGTACACCCCAATTGGAAAATGAATATTTGTATCCATATCTCAGTGAGTATAGGCAATTTATTTAGGCGTATTTGAACAAAACAGATTTATTAAACAGATATATTTATTCAAATAATATTTTAATCACCAAACACTTAGAAATTAAAAGACAATACAATTAAATTCACGCAAAATATTGCAAAACAATTACAACCTACAAAAATTCAACAACATTTTTTGATTGTTTTGCTTCTCTTGATTTTTCTTTTTTTTTATTTGTATTTAATATATTTCAATAACATATACATTTGGCTATACTAGTTTTTGGACCGTTATTGCAAGTTAGATTGCAAAATTTTGTTGGATGAGCTCCAGATTTGGCTTCAGTACTGACTAATCTAATGTATCTTCACAAATCTAATATTGTATAGCTTCCTTTTAAAAATATGAATTTAAAAGAGAGATTCGTGAGGGGTGTACTTACATATGCTGAGCACTATATGTGCATGTTTGGGCGAGTAAGATGAATGAAATGCTAGAGGCAAAACAAATATGTGTATTTAAAAAAAATAGCATACAAGCCTTACAGGATAATGTGTTTATTCAAGTGTATTATTAGACCACTTCATTTAAATTTTAAATTACAAATATATTTTAATGTACTTCTCAGAAATATACATTTATTGGACACTTAAGTATACTTGACTTATACTGGCATAAAGTCTTTAATATATTATTAACATGTAATCTCACATGTTCAAATTTAAATAGTTTATATAACAAGGCTTAGAGCTAGGATAGTTTAGATTAAATAAAACATGCATGAAACCGAGTATGCAAAACAGTACCCATCTATAAAAGTCTGGTTTTGGAATATTGTCAAGTGAAACCCCTGAGATCCCTTTTTTTTTTTTGTGTGTGTGTGTGTGTGTGTGTGTGTGTGTGTGTGTGTGTGTGTGTGTGTGTAATATTGCTTTGCAAAAAGGAAACTGCTAAATGACTAAATATACATGCATATATAAAAATGCTCCAAAACCATATGTTTTATACAGTATGTATTCCAGATGTGTTGCAAGTTTCACAATGTAGCCAATTTAGTCTAAAGCGGTATGTCAGAGTGTGTCAAAAGTCCCAATCTCCAACTCACCTCATGCAACAAGTCTGCCTTCTCGGTTTGTTTCTTGCGACTCTTGCGAGCTGCATCTCTGTTTTTCTCTCTGCGATCTGATGTGTTCTGTAGATATATAACAGTGCACATTGTATACAAAATTGATTTAAAATATTCTAAGTATATATATATATATATATATATATATATATATATATATATATATATATATATATATATATATATATATATAAAATCTACATTTCATACAAGAAAAGATGGTTGAGATTAAATTAAACCGAATTAGTATAAGAATTGACTTAATGAAAAGACAGAATAAAAATATTGGAGATTATCTATAATAACAATAGCATAAAACAGCAATCAATAATAAAACAATATTCAATTTTAACTCATTTAATGGCTATAATCAGCAATGATGTAACAGTATTGTATCAACATCAAGTACAATGACATTAAATGAATTAATTCACTCCCTACCCATTCTTGAGGACTTTGAGAATCACTTTGAGAAAAAGGACTTCCTCGGTCAAAGTTTTCCATGACAGCAGCTGGCATCTCCAAATCCACGGATGCTCTTCGACAGTAAAGATGAAAATGCTTGCATGTATACTCTCAGAACCAGTCAATTGGTAATGTTCCGTATTGCGGTCATTTCTACGAAGTGAGTTGTAAGGCGAGTTAAAGGAATCCTGAGGCAGCTGTTCTGGGCTGCAGTGAGTGTCTGCTCATGATTTAAACTACGCTCTTTCTAATGTAAGCAGTGGGCGGTGGAACGAGCCAATGAATTGACTAATAAGGTGACGCAACAGAGGAGTGGACTAGACTGATTTCGGTTTCGTATTATTTTAAATGGTCCGGTTAGCGGAGCCGGGAGATCACCGCTTCCGGTACGCCGCTGCCCGTATTTAGGTTGCTCATTTCCCGCACAAGAGACAAATTTCGGGAATTCCAACCCGGAAATCCAGACGGCTGGAAGTGTGTGGGATTTGCAAGCTTTACTGTGTGATCCCCATTACATCACTGAAATTAATGTAAGATGTCTGAATGAGTCCAGTATTTTATATTTACTGATAAAATTTAGCAGATAGTCTGAAGGACAAGTTTCAAGTGCTGTTAGTTTCTACAGGCAGGATATAATGGTGGCAGATGAATTGATAAAGGTGCTGAAAACATACAAGGGCTGCAAGCTCAAAATGGGGAAATACGAAATCTGATTATGATTGACATATAAGACATTTACTGTAAGGTTTCATTTAAGGAGAAGTTGTGAATCTAGAGCTTTAATAGACTTTGCTTTGGATGTAAGCTAAAAGTCTACTGACAAACAGTCTGGCTGCATTTTTTAGACTACAGATGTTTTTATTTATTAATTCATGGTTAACAAAGAGATACAGTTCCCATTTATTCACACTCAAGTTGTTACAAACTTGTGTGAATGCTTTTTTTTTGTAGTAGTTGTTTTTTTTGTCTATCTATCTATCTATCTATCTATCTATCTATCTATCTATCTATCTATCTATCTATCTATCTATCTATCTATCTATATGGTCTTAACCAGGGGTGCCAAAACTTTTTAGTTTGAAGGGCCAACAACGATAAATATACCAAACTAACTTACATTAAATTGCTATAGTTAACTTCCTAATTCATATTATTTTGTCATAATATTAAAAAGTAAATAGAAAATCTTACTTTGAATCGTATTAACCTTTTAAATTATAAATTATTCCAATAAAAACACAAACAATAAAATTTATAACACAGTGGAGTTCAATTCTGAATACACTAGTCACTTACAACTTACATTTAAATTGAAACATTTAATTTCAGATAGCTTTTTTGTAGATTAGCAATGGAACAAACAAATAAAAAGGGACATTAAATTTGAAATGACAATCTCTAAATTTTAGATAGGATGGCTTGGCTTTGACTACCATGGGCCAACTTTGGCCCGCGGGTCCTAGTTTGGGCTTCTCTGTTCTAGACAACTGATGATGATACCCACTTAACTATTTTACACAATAGATATCTACATTAGATGTAGCCTATGCCATTGTTGTCTATTGGAAAGAATCCATCAATAGAGCCGCTATTTTAGTACAGGGTGCTGCTTTGAAATGAATGTGGGACCAAGGTGCAGTGGAGGACTGGCCATCCGAAGCGATGATATATAAACATATGCACATATATCTATGATCAGGAGTTTTTCCCGGTGGTCAATACGCAAATATTTTTTTAAATTCTGAAAATAATAATTTTACATCACTTTTCTACATTGATGGATAAGTCACCACACGGGCATTGTCAACAAAGAGCATGTGTTTGTGTGCATGGAAAGGTATTACCCTCCCTCCCTGATAAAATTGATCTAATTAGTGTTCTGAAACGCATCCCCTCTCCTGCTTTTACTTCCCATTCTAACTGGAGTGATTGGTTTGTGAATGAACATATTTGAATGTATTTGTGAATGTATTTCTCGCATACTGATTTTCGAGTTCTATGAATTCTTACATATTACTCGGCTCGCTACAGATTTTAGCTTTCTAAATAGTATGAAAGAATGCGGTTTCGGATGCAGCCTCTTCAAAAACTAGCCTTTACCTCACTTAGCCGACAATAATACTAGCATTAGCATCTTGTCATACTTCATTACATTGTTTGGTTATTTTATTCAACAAAACTAGGATAAGGCTATAGTATTTAGAGCAAGTTGGTGCTACTTTAACTTATGATCACTGCAGTAAGTAACTGTATTATCATCAATAACATTACTTGTGAGGCACAAAAATTCGTAACATACAAAAATGGTAAAAACGAAATCTTACCTATGAAATGTTTTGCCTTTATACTTTCTTTTCATTGTTTGCTGGTTACTACACCCATGCACAGCGCAAAAGTCCAGCATCTTCACATTGGCTTTAGTCTTGACTAGTGCGGCTAAATGAATTTTGTCCTGGGAGCACTGAACCAATGTGGCGGCGATACTGATGCATGCTTAGGGTCTGTAAGCAATATCTAGAGTATCTATGGTTTTACACTAGGCAAGCCAATGAGAACCAGAAAATGTTTGGTCTTGCGTACCACCAGAAAGAAATTTGGAAAAACCTGAGGGTAATAAGGTTCATACCTGAAATATATCTAAACATTTTTGTTTTTATTGCCATTCTAAACTACTCAAAGTAAATTTTCACCCAAAATAGCGGTAGAGTAAACTTTCTATTTGCTCAATATAACATTGTATCAATGTCATCGTGAGTTGTTCTTGTTTGTAATTGTTACCTTTTGTATAAGGTAGCACAACTATTTGGTTAATCCTCTCTGGTCTGATGTGGGCAAATGGATAAAACAATGTCAATGTTTCCTTCTAGTTGTTGCGACATTGTGAATTTTGGAGCACATTTGAACTACAAAAATTATGACTTAACTGCAGATTGTTTACTTATTTTACCAAAAAATTTTCATTCATACATGCTAAATTTTGAAAACAGCTCCACATCTGATTGTCTTTAAAAAGGAGTTTGCCACCTATGCAGAGGCTTTAAAAATAATAAAGGGTAAAAAGGCTTAAAAATTTTAAGATTTGTTTCAAGAATGTGGTTTTACTTAACCCCTTACAAAATTTCTGTTTGATGTCTGCACAGTATGATTTTTTGTTATTTATACATTTTTTGTTTGTTTTGGTGTAATTTTATGGCTTTATATTTGCTTGATTGTAACGTGTGATATCTCTCAGTCAGTTTGTGAAACCCTAGTAGCAAAGAATTCTGGCCCAGATTTGGCATAAAGCTGGCACAGCAGGCATTCATCCGGCACTGGCATACAGCATGTGGCCAAACATGGCCCGATTTTGGCAGAGGCGGCACACAAGATTTGGGCCAGATGAAAAACGTAGTATTTGGCTCAGATTAAAAACTTTGATAAGTGGGCCATGTGAGTTTGGTCAGTCTTGACCCACATTTAAAATACACTAAAATCATTTTTGAGTAAAGAAAAAAAATTCTACTAATCAGGTCACTTTGAGAAAAAGCGTGCCCATAGTGTGCCTAAAGCGCATCACTCTATGGGTTTATCAATTTCATTGCAATCGTGACACACCAACCTATCTGGCCCAGTTCAGGCCCAGTTATGAGTTATTAACTTGGCTGAGACTTGGCCCAGATATGGTCCGTGTTTGGCCCTTGTCTGAAAGCCAGATTTGGTCCAGTCATGTACCGTAATTCACTGTGGCATGTGGGCCAGAGCTGGGCCAAAGAAATTTTGCTATGTGGGAAGATTACGTTGGAATTGAGTTTGGCCTAAATTATTATGTTTTGGCAAATAAAAATATGTAAATAAATACAGGTAGCACAACTAACGAAACATACAAATGTAAATCAACAGAGATAAACCATCGACTAATATGCGAGAGATGAGACTTACTTCAAATATTTTGGTGGACTTCAACTCTTCTTGGAAAATGAACTCAGGGGGCGCTGCTATAGAAACGAATACATTTGAACTGACAGCTTTCTTCACCTATCACGCGCCCTTGCCACGGTTCTCCTTTGCCAATAGAAAAGGCCCAAATATAAACGACAGTTAAAACAACCAATCATAAGCCTTCAATGTCATGCGTATTCCCTTTCTAACCAATCACAGCGCAGTGTGTTTTGTTAACTCATAGTAACGCTTCCTTGTTTCCAGTATGGCTTTGCACTGAAGGCATGCGATATTTATTTAAGAAATATTTTCATTTATTACGTTAGTTAATGCGTGATTTCAGACAGTATTGTGTATTTCATCTACGCGCTCGCGATGGGTTTACTGACTATCTTGAAGAAGATGAAACACAAGGAGCGTGAAATGCGTCTACTCATGCTGTATCTTTTCGCACAACTGAATTCAAGCGGATAGTCATGTACATTAGGTACATTTGTAAACAACATGATAAACTGCCGGTGTTTTGTATTGTTTGTATTCACTACAATGCATATACTTTCTAACAAGTGTCATTTTCTCAGAAAATGTGATGTAATGTGTAATGTGATGTTTATGTCACCTGTGATGCTGTCGAGGGTCCTTGACGTTTCTTTTCAGTGGTCTTGATAATGCGGGGAAAACAACTATCCTAAAGAAGTTCAACGGCGAAGATGTCAGCACAATCTCTCCAACATTAGGCTTCAACATCAAGACTCTTGAGCACAGAGGGTACGACTACTGAGAGCATTGATGCTAACTTTAAGCTAATTTTATATGGCAGATAAAACAATTTCTAACGGCACGGTTAAATTGATGTCTTTTTTGTCCGTAATGTTTTTAGTCAATATACTACGTTAGCGGAATTCTATGTCTCGGATTTCTCTTACTGTTGTAAATATAAACAATCAATTACCTCTTAATAATTTTGACTAAAGCTTGAAAATTTAATTTGCAATTTAAACCAAAATGCTTTAAATTCTTTTGTAGCATAGAGTTCAATGGCATATTTATATTTAAAACGAGAAACTTGGTAGGTTAATGGAAAAGGTTTAAAAGTAGGTTTCCCTTCATAAATTTTAACTAATTTCAAATCTGAGATTGATCGATAGCTAATAAAGTAGTTTTCAGCAAGATTGTTTTCACATTAGAACTTTTTTTTCATTTAGTGGAAATACTGTGTTCACTTTTGACCACAAACAGCGTTTGTAGGACCTTTTAAAACAAGTGTGTCCAAATAGCATGTGCCAAAATCATTTGTTTGTACTATTTCAGAGTTAAACGTTATAAACAAGCCAAAATGTAAGGTTTTGTTGTTGTTAGTTGTTTTTGTCAAGAAATTATTTAAAAGCACTTTAGGGTTAATGAAAGTAATCATCAAATTATGTCTTGTGAACACTGCCGACTTTTTAACCTTATGTTTATTTCAAATAATCTCCAAATACATTCTGTTTCTTTCTTTCTTCCCACTGAAACTAGGTTTAAGCTGAACATCTGGGATGTGGGTGGTCAAAAGTCATTGAGATCGTACTGGAGGAATTATTTCGAGAGCACAGATGGACTGGTGTGGGTAGTGGACAGTGCTGACAGACTGAGACTGGACGACTGCAGAAAAGAGCTGAATGCCTTACTACTAGAAGAGGTGTGATGGCGTTTCTCTTAAATTTTATAGCCTTAGTCTATGAAATGTAATTCCATTACAAGGTTTCTGATTAAATTTCTTCTATTCTAGCGATTAGCAGGAGCCACTCTGTTAGTTTTTGCCAACAAGCAAGACCTACCTGGTGCTTTATCAAAAGATGGCATTCGAGAGGTGAGTCTTCACATTGCATGTCACAACTAAAATAAGGATTAAGTAAATATGCTAGTTTCTGATTAATCTCTCCATCTGCCTAGGTTTTAGCCCTTGATGATATTAAGACCCATCACTGGTGTATTGTGGGATGCAGTGCTGTAACAGGCGAGAATCTGCTTTCAGGTGTGGATTGGCTACTAGATGATATTGCAGCTCGGATCTTTACAACGGACTAATGGACACACATTTAGCCTTTAAATGGACAGTAAAGGAGCAGCATGTTGGACTGCACGTGTAATGCAAATGTGCTGAAGATAGTGGTCACAAACTTAAAAAATATTGTTAAGCAGCTGTGAAAAACTAATTTACCATAAATACACAACTGTTTCACAAAATCTGCTGGGGTATCTTGTTCCATTTAAAGCTTCTGCTGTTTAAATAGTTACAGCTCAGTGAAGCCTTTCTCTTATCGATGTTACAAATAGGTGGGCAGTTAATTTTTCCATGAATCCTTCAGATCTGGATTTCAACTTCACAAAAGACCATTAAAAAGACTTTGCATTAAAATCTGCAGTACCCTTTTTGTGTCTAGCAAACTAGCTGTCAAGTTGGTTTGAGAACATTTTGTAGAAATTTAAATGTGGCACAATTTGAGGGTTGCAAATATTGTGCAACACCGACATGGGTACAACTGCTAAATGATATACTTGTATAAAGCCACAATACCATAAATTAAAATTGATGGTGTGCCCAGTTTTCCTTTTTCAGTTACAGTGTAATGTTGGGAAAATTGAGGCTTTACACATGCTAGTTGCTTAAACTGATTTAAGACCAGTTTCATTAATACCAGGAATGGCAAATTGCTCAATTTTAGTCTTTGTTGTGATTTATTGCTTTCATTCAAGTACTTGAGCAGAAATAGAGGGGAAGTATATGAATAGTCAAACTTTTTATTAGTGAACATTAAGGTCCATATTTATTCGATTCCCATAAGTTTAAGCAGAAGAAAATTGAGAATGGTGTAAAAGTCAACTTGCACAAATAAATGGTTTATTATTTCTTTAAGTTAATGAATTGAGCTTATAAAAAAAGGTCAGTCTTGCACAATAGTAAAACTCACAGTACTTGTTACCTTGGGATAAATCTAAAGTCAAAGAGACAGAGTTCAGCAAAATCATTTATTTGTTCCTCTTAGCTGCTTTCAGCAAGAGCTTGCATTACACTGAAAAGTACAAAATTGTCCACCTCTCCCTCTTAAGGCTTTCAGCAACATGCAGTTGAAATCTAGAGGGGGAAAAAAAAAAAAAAAAAAAAAAAAAAAAGTTAAACTAAGGTTGGGAGCGGGAAAATAAGCATTAGACAAGTATGGATCAGAGGGGATACCAATCAGTCATAACTTTTCAGCCTGGGGCGGTAATAGTCACTCATCATGTCCATACCAATTTACTTTAACAGGTACAACTTGTGGGTACCTGTACATGAAGATGGCAATCGATCAGTAAATCCTTGTAGCATCTGAAAAGTTAAAGCTACATTAGTAGTGCTTCAATAAATTACTTCAGTCAACAATCATTAAGAGAGGTCAGAGGGGTACCAATCAGTCAGATAAATCAGACTGGGGCGGTAATCTAAGATCATCATGCCTATAGGTTCACAAGTAACAAGTCAAGAAACCAAATGCATACAAACCTCTTTCTGCACGGATGCACAATTTGGTCCACTACAGTCCTGGCACAAAAAAAAAAAAAACAAAAAAAAAAAAAAGTTAGGGATCACATGAAGGATAAACACTTATCCAAGCTACAACTAGTGCTTCTCAGACTGTTGGAAACCCCAACGGATCATCCCCTTATTGCCCAGGACACACCAGTGGGTTCACCTTTTCAGGTTCTGGCATTGACACAGGGCGTAAGACGTGTGCGAGTTGCATCATAAAAGGATGTCAATAAATGTGGCATACATGTTTGGAACAAAACTCACCTGTTTGGATAACTTCAGACAAGGCGTCTTGCCTACGAGTGAAGAGAACTTTTAGGTGGAAGAAACTGACAAATACAGACATGCAAGTGATAGTTGTAACATCAGTATAAAGCTAGGTTTCTCAACAGTACTTCAGACGAACGAGACTGCTAAATCATCATGTGTTACAGGAAGAACACAGGTGCAAGATTAACAAATTGAACTAGTAATAAAATTTAGGAAGCATTCTTACCATTGTGTACATCTTGACTGGAACCTTTGAGGGAAAACAAAAACCGACATTAGTTTACATTGAACAAACCAACATCTACAATAAATGCATTGTGTAACATCAGTATTTAAAAGATATCAGCAGGAATTCAGACGAACGAGATTCCAATGAAAATCATCATAAGTTACAGAGGGACTTGAAACTAAAGTAGGTAGTAGCCTTACCTAAAACCGCTAGAAGGACTCAACCCATCAAAGACTTTAACCAGGGATCCTGCAGAGAGGAGGGGGAATTTAGAGAAAAGGCAATGCAACTCATGCAAAATGAAAACTTTAGCCATTCACAGTAATCTCTCAGTTGTTCGTGACTTTTCACATTGGGTCAAAGTGAGCTAAGTTTCTTCATCACAGAGATTGAGGGGGAGGAGAGAGAAATAATAATAATTTTTGCATAAAATTTACCTTTTAAGTAAACAGCCACTTCTTTGGTAACCAGTCATTTGACAGTGCTACCTACAAACAGAGGCAAGACCTTTAGTATGCATGCTAAATGTATTAACTCCAGCATGTTTAACATTGTCTGATCAGTGCTTTGGTGACTTTAATGCCATGGGGCAATAATGCCGTCCAGATGATAAAACGGAATAAACCGTTCATCCTCTCAGATAGAGACTTTATACAATTTTTTTTGTCAAAAACTTACCAAAAGCACTGTGCCATGGCCAACAGGAGGAAGGCTGAAACACCTAGTCAAACGACAAGCATTGTAAGTGCAAATACTGCTCAGTAATTGTTTACGAAGTCACATGATCTGATCATACTTTGGTGACTAGAATGCCATATGACAAAACTGTCGTCCAGTTAAGATGTAAAGACTTAATCATTTCAGACAAGATCAAGTAAACCGTGAATGTGAGAATGCTTACCCATAAGATGTCCATGATCGCCATAAACCCATCCTCTGCAGCAATCCTTAAAAACAAAAATTTAAAAAAAAAAAATTAAAAACTGTAAAACGAAGGAAAAAAATAAAATCGAATGGAAACATCCAGATTATCAGAATAAATAGGCAAACATCACTGGAATTCAGATATATGCTTGTCATGGAAATCATCATTTAACAAGTTTTTTTTTTTTAATAAAGACTGGACATTTACAATATTACCTTGAATTTAACACGTCTCAGCTTCATCCCAGCAGAATGCATGGAAACTGCAAAAACAAAAATATGTTTAAGTAAGTTTTACAAACATCACAAGAACAAAATCTGGATGTCCAATGCTACTCAGGTTAGAACAGTTACATCAAAGCAATTCAGGAAGAGAGAATTCTGAAGTCATCATGGTAGCACTGGATGACATGTGTTTGAGTTATTATCCTGACAAGGACATTCTTTACTGAAAAAGTCACAGGGGGCTGAGGTCTATAGAGCCAAAAATACTGAAACTGATTTTAATACAAGACAACGAACAAAGCACACTAGACAATACATGGGGGCAATCAAGCAGTTCTAGTAATTAAGTCTGCCACAAACCAATGTTCACTCTAAATAACGTTTATGCTTATTTCCCAAATTATGACAGAAGTCAATGGTTTGTCTTAATGCGAACCTCCAATAAACACCAGGAAGAATGGTTAGTCTGCATTATTGAATCATTCTACAGTTGGTACCATTTGCACAGGATGTGGAGACTGGTGCAAGCAGAGAACCATCTCATATTATGGGGTTTGGGATTAAAACCATGTTAATAATACTACTTTACCCAAGTAACGAGTAAAGTTATATTACTCAATAGTGGAATTAAATATTAATTCTTAAACTGAATTAGTGTAATGGCATTGAAAATCACAATGCGAGAATGAGCTCCTGCAGGTACAGACAGAAGGATGACTGAGCCTTACATTTCTGTAAAAGTTCTCATTTTTTACATGTGGGATAAAGGGGATTATGGTCTCAATTGGACAGCGATTTTACTGAATCAAGACAAAAACACAAGTATAAATAAAACGCTTCAAGTTCCAAAAGAAATAAAGCCTCTGGCTGGTTTGAAAACTCCATGTAAATGCATCACATTACTTTCCATTAATAACGCAACCAATTACTTTGAGGTGAGTAAGTAAAAATTGCAATGGGTTATTCAAAAAAGTAACTTCCCCAACACTGTGGGCAGTAAATTAACTGTAGAAAAGTTGAGTAAGAATGTCCAGGGCTCATTCTGACTGCTAAACCCAGGGTGGTATTGAAGTGTATTGAGACTGCTATGCAGAATAACACTTTTCATCGAGATCTTTCTAAATCGTAATTTCTTCTTGGAGGGTTTCAATATGCTTGTGCAGAGGAGTTAAATTGATGTAATATATAATGAGTATTCTCAACATGCACGTATTTCTTTGGAGGGTACCTGCTCAAGATGACTGCAGTTAATCAGCAAGTTCTGGTAGCATCTGAATAAAAGAAAAGAAAAGCTACATGAATAAAGAGTTTCAAAACATACATTTAAAAAAAGTTAAAACAAAAGGTTCAGAGGGGTACCAATCAGTCAGATAAATCAGACTGGGGCGGTAATCTAAAATCATCACACCTATAGGTTCACAAGTAACAAGTGCTGGAAGCAAACAAACCTTATTCTGCTCAAGGACACAAGTTGTGGGGTAAAGGTCCACTGCAGTCCTGTAAAAAAACAAAAATAAATTAGAGATCAAGTGAAACCATATAACAGATCATATTAGATTAACAAAACATCAAAACCTTGTATAATAACTGCAAATATATTAATACTCCAAGTTAAGCTCCTTGAAAGTAATCTTAACCAACCTTAATACCAAGTATTAAACTTGCAAATAGGATGAAATGGTCTTTTTACAGCATGTTAAGCTTAATACAGCACATTGAAAAAACAAAATCTACAGGCTGCTAGAAATCTTACCTTCCCATGATGCCACGCGAGTCGCAGTAGTCATCGTTGCTGCAAAAGAGAACCCTTCATTAAACACGTGTTTTCCAAATAAGAGCACAGGACATACGATCAACGCAAAACTATAAAAAAATAAATAAATAAAAATCGATAAAAAGGATGCAATGATCATCTCGATCTCACGTCAGATAAATATTGTGCAATCACAGTGATTCAGTACAGGTCTGTGAAAGTTATCATCATTGAGAGATCTCGTGAAAAACGAAAAGAACAAAAGTAGCACGAAATAGACAGCAATTACGATAAACTAACATGTAAACTTTGCAAAGAATGTGAAACAATCAAAAAAGGGTCACAGTTGAAAAAGGATGGCTTTAGATAAAAGTGTAAAGCTCGTGGGCCAGCGGGCTGTACACTCATTGTAGCAGTCTACTAAAGGCCCATATAACAAAAGACGTAAACGCATACTCAAAAGAAAATCAGTCCTTTTGACGCCTATGTCATCATTGTAAAACCGGATTAAAACACAATAGCGTTATGTTTAACCAGTTGGAAATGAACAGAACAATCCTTACCGATGAAGAAGAAGTAGCAAAATGGACGGAAGGAAGGGCTCGGCGCGTTTTATTCGTGTCACACGTAAAAAACACGCCCATTTGACGACAACCAATCAGGTAATCTGATAACATTAAAAGCGCCAAAAATACGTTGTAGTCTATATGGCAGTCGGTCAATGTTTATGAATTTAAAAATATTCTGTATATAGAGAGCGATTATTTGCACAAAATGTTGATAAAATTATGTTAACTGTACATAATATACACGTTCTATAAATAGTAGTGATTGATGAATTAAGCAGAGTATGGTAAAAGCAATGTGGACGCGAACAGGCAGGTAAATTTATAACACACATATGAGAGTATCATACTTACAAAGTCGAACAACATATCTGCTTTTTGTAGATTTATTATTTGGAATGAAGATAAAATGCTTAACATTTTTTGTCAAAACCTTGTCAGGCTTCACATTTCCACTAGATGGAGTTATATCTGCATCTTTTTTTTGTATAAAATTTTAACAGTACAAAAAATATACATGCAGGGAGTAAGCATAAATCAAACACAAATAGAGAAATGTTCATATGTAAATATTAAAGTTAAAATATTAAGTTAAATATTTTGAAAAACTGGGACCTGAATTTCGGGCCCAAGTGTGTTGCACAGTTATTTCCATCCACATACTCTACAAAAATCTCATTCAAGTACTTTTTGCCATTGTAATGAATTTTATTAGCGTTCCTATTAATTTAGGTGACAATTTTGTTACAGTTTCTGTTCATTTCTGATCAAGCCCTACAGTAACATTTGACACTGTAATTTTTACATTCAATCTTAGAAAGGATGTTAACAAATAAATAAAATGTGTGTGAAATCTTGTGATGATCCAGGAGCTGTGGTCCTAACAATTTTTGAAATAAAATAAAAATAAAAATGTACAAATGGGATTGATTTGAAGACCTAAACCTTGTTCTTGAGACCACCCTTGTGAACTACAATATAACGGCTAGTGTATTAAATAAAGATTTAACCACAAAGTAATATTTATATTTTGAGAAATTTGCCTTTGTTAAGACCAGCACACTATCATATTACTAAAATAATTCAAAATTGATTACTTTTGTATTTAGCACCACAGAAACAAGTGATAGTTTTTTTTTAAGTTTTTTATTAGCATTCCTTTGACATCACAAAGCAGATAAAACAAGACAAAATACTTTTCATTTCACATATGCAACATTAGAAAACCATGGGTTTGTAAATAAGAAACAGAACATAAATAACTCTACAGAACACAAAAGCCATCATTCACTCCATCTCTTGGCTCAATTATTTCTGCACTTCATTGCCAGAGATGTACCTCTTGATGACTTTTTTTTTTCATCTTTGAGCTCCCAGATTTGTTCTTGAGGGTTGTGTTAACCCTTTGAAAGAGTACACGTTAATGGCCAAAGTACAGGAACCCTCCTTCTGTTCACAGCTCAAAAACTTTCCACGTGGGATAATTAATAACAGAAGCCACATGTTTCCTCACGAGAGAACAAAGATCAGCTATACACTCCCTTTAGTTAGTGCTACGGTGATAAATTTATACACTGATAAAACGTTCAAATATTGACCTCTCTTTTCAGGTTACATAATGATCTGATCAATAGCCATCAGTTTAATGCCGAGTTCAACAATGCATATTAAATACATGAGCACATTTAAATTAATAAATCAAGTTATTCAGTGATTGAAATGGAAAAAGTGCAGCTGAGAGAGTTTGACCGTTATCTGAATTCTGCCAAAACACGATTCTTGTTCAGTTGGGTTTTGTCTGATGGTGCAGATGAAGAAGTTGATGATATGGGTGTCAGAGTCACACTATACAGATTGGCAACAAAAGTCTCCCATCCTCGACGAAAAGCTCTGTCCATTGCCTAAAGCAGTAAATAAAGAGAGAAAAACACGATAAATAATAAGCATACTCAAGTAAAAGTACCATTACTTAACCAAAAATGTAGTGCATGGAGAGTAAAAGTATCTGTTGTAAATATTACTCAAAGTATGAGTGAAAAGTAGCCCTTTTTTAAAAGTACTCAATAAAGTAGTGAGGATTACGCTGTGAAAGGTTGATGCGTTTACATGCAATTTGTGCAGGAATGTGTAAACGTAACATTCTGTAGTGCATTTAGTCATTGTTTAAGGCCATTTGGCGATTTCTGTCGTGATACAGGAAACATCCTTCATCTTCTCATCAGTGACATACAGTGTAAACCACGGGTGTCCAACCAATCTCTGGATCACTGTGTAAAGACTTTGGATATCTTGAACACTTTTAATGCTTCAAAATAGTTTGCTGCATTTATGAACCGCTCATGTCTTCAGGTATTTCAGTATAATGCGTTTTACTCTCTAAAGTCCAGCTACAAGTATATAGGATTTTTACTTGATCAGGAGTTTTCCTTCATGCACACATAGCAAATTTGGTTCACAATTTGAGAGTTAAGCTTGGGTTTTACTATCGAAATGGATCCTGCTTTCCTCTTAAAGCTTGTAACGTTTGGTGTCTTCAACATTTTTACCGTTGCTTGACTATGGTGATGTTTTATATATGAATGCTTCAACCAAATGTCTTCAGCCTTTAAACTTTGTTTATCACAGCGCTCTGAGGTTTGTTACAGGACTAACTCACCATTGTAAATAACCATAACTGTATGCCGAAGCTGAGTGGCCTTCTCTGAATGTCAGAAGCTACACTCACTGGATGTCTCTGGTATACAAGGCTCTTCTGGGTCTGGCGCCTTTATACCCATGTTCCCTTCTTCATAGGTCAAAAAGCCACTATGCCCTACGTTCAAGTGAAACTTATCATTTGTCGGTTCCCCGGGTTCAAACTGAAATAGGGAAGTGAGATTTTAGCCATGCCGCCACCTCATCCTGGAATTAAATCCCAATTAAATCATTTCACTCTATCCTTTATAACAAACATCATCAGTCCATTTCTCAAAGTATGTGTTTTAACATATTGTAATGTGGTATAGCCGAACAACTAAACTGTATTTTTATATTATCTTTACTTTTTATTTATTAGTATAATTTTTTTTTTCATAAGTCGTGTGTAACGGACCTCTTGGCCAGGTCACCCTTGTTACATTTTTTCTGAATCTAAGTATGAAAGAAATTTTAAAAAAGTGTGAAACCTGGCCAAGGAAATACAGTAATTTACCATTTATACCGTTTTATAGCAAATAGATAATAAACAATTAATTAAAAGTACGTTTTTTAAATATATAAATATATTGTACAGCTGAGACAATTAAAAATACAGTACATTTTACAGTATATATTTACAATACTAAATACATGTACAGCAAGATAAATGTTGTACATATTAACAGTCATCTTGGTGTAAGTTTCGGTTAAAGTAAATGAAATACCGTGAATTCTACAGGAAAATATTAACAGTGTACTTTTTTTTGTAAAACATATTTCTGTCTTTCTTAATAACCTTGAAAATATTTGTTTGTATATATATATATATATATATATATATATATATATATATATATATAAAGTGAATGAAGATGCATGGTCAGGTAGAAGGAAGTGGGTTTATTTCTAGGGTCATTGCTCTGACAGAAGAATGTGCCCTTATTAGCTGAACTAGAGGACATGTAATGGAGGTGAACTGACAGAGTCCTTCAATTATTTGCAGAAATTCCTCTAATCAAGGTCACCTTGCTTACGACCAAAAGAACTGTGGTCACTGTATAACTTGGTTCTGTCCTCTGACCATATATGTGCAAACAACTGATAGTGACATAACAGATGGACTAATAAACAGGGGGTGGAAGTAATAAAGATACATGTGAAGCTATTCGCTTTTCAGTGGGGTGGAGACATAGAAAAGAGTTATATTGCAGCAAATGTAAACACTTCTAGAGTGATGGACTCTTTAAAAGAACTACAAAATAGAAATAAAATTGAACTTTATTCCGGATTCCTTGCCAAAATGTGTTCCAAACCACATATCCTTACAGAATGACCTTGCCTCCTTAAGTGAACTTTAAATAATATTAACTGTGTGGATGATGTTTGAAGCTAATAATAAAAACTATAACTTTTATTTAACAAATCTTGGTAGTCAAGGTCACCTAAAATCAGACCAAAACTTAAAAGCATTATCACTGCACAAATATAATTGACTATATCATAAAATACCCTAAAACTAAAATGATTGAATGATAAATCAATTATAGAACTAAAATATAACATAGTTGCTTTTTAACAATAATTTTTGATCACGACACAAGATCGATTGCCATTTGTGTAACCGCACTGCAAATGCCATACACTCAAATTATGTTCGCTGTTTGTTCAAACTACTTATTTAAAATGAGCTAGAACAACATAATTCTTGAGTTTTTAAGGACAACTTAATTCTTTTTTGTTAAATTCTCTAAAATTTGTAAAAAAAAAAAAAAAAAAAAGTTACCTTAATGTTGTCTCAACACAAAGAGTGGAACTCTGCATTTGTTACAGTGTGGTTAATGGTTAGTGTAGCAAAATCTTGAATATTTTAGTTAGCATGGTTTGCCTAACCATGTTTCTGGGATTATATAGTAAAGCATAATTTACAGATCTAAACAAAAAAAAAAAAAAAACATATATGTCTTCTAATGTGATGAGCATCCCCGTAAATTCTAATAAACAATCTTTAACATTTTTGGTGTCCTCTTACACACTTTCGTGGTTGTCTGTATTTGCACAATTAAAAGTAGAAGCATAACTTCAGCAACAAATTGTTTAATAAACAGCAAGCCATGTACCACATAACTTAATTCGCACCTTGCTGTATACCCAAAATTAACCGATTGCTTTGAGTAGCAACTTATTCGTATCACTAGTTCTAACTACGCTAGCTGCGCACATGTTTTTATTCAGAAAAAAGCCAATATCAGCGCCGCTAAACCAGTGTTGAAGGGAGTTCTATCAGGATATTTTAGCATGGTATTTCAATAGGATCAGCAAAACATTGAGTGTAAGAAACTTTAACAA